GAAATAATAATTAAGAATATAATTGAAGTTAAATCCACTCTTCATTCTAGGCATGGCAGGCGTGAGCGGGGCGGGTTTTGCCTCCCAGACCCCGCCCCGATCCCGTCGGGGTTAAAATTTAAGTCCCCATCCCCGTTCTCGTTGGGTTTCGGGTTTTCCCGCCTGCTCAGTCCCCGTTCTATGGTATTATTTTAAAAGTAATTATATATAAATTATAATAAAATAATTTAAAATTATTATTTTTTATATTTTATTTTTTATAACAAATAAATATAATATTATAATTTTTAGAATATTATTATTGATTGAGTGTATATTTTAATTTATTACGTTTATATTAAAATATTTATACATAAAAAATATATTTGATCATTCTTTTTTTTCTTATTATAAGTTGTTAATCCTTTAAAATTATTAATCCTTGTAAACAATATATAATAAAAATAAGTTTCAACTAATGATCCTTTTAAAATAATTATGAAATACATCTAAAAATACTAATAAATAAGTAAACAAAGTTTCTCATGGAAAATAATATAAGAAAACTGCATAATAATGCATAACCGTGCATAACAATACATATAAGAAAAATAACAAATATTGGATAATTTAATGATCATCCTCCAAATGAGCAACAATGCCACTCGTCCATCAATTCACCTACATAATTTAAAATAAAATATTTGGTGTAGGAGTAGGACCCTCAAGGTTAGAATTTTCTTTTAACAATGATTCATGCATACTTGCTTGTGTTGTTTCATTATTTTTCATTGTATATAAAAAAATCCCTACCACCATAAACAAGACATGTATTATTGATTGCCTAAAGATAAAAAATCTTCTGTTTATTTCTTCTAAAATAAGACTTAAATTGATCATAAAAGATAAAAAAATATAATTAGTTAATTAACATAAGATATGATATATGATAAATAAGAATAGTAAACCCAGAAAACATGATATAACAAAAACCTAATAAAACCAAATTAGAAATAAAATGATACATTGATGTACATATTTAGAAAAAGATAAATAAACAAAAAATTACCTTATGCGTTCGATAAACTGGTTGATAATACTTGGAGAAGTTGATCGGAGAACTCAAACTAGTTAAAGAGATAGGAGAAGCCAAATGTGAGTTGAACTAAGACTAGTTGTGAAGAGATTCAAAAAGGCAAAGAAATTCAGAATAAATGGAAGTAAAGTGAAGGAAAGGAACACACTACGTAATGAGAAGATAAAGGGTATTATAAGAAAACAAAAAGGGTAATGTGAAAAGACTAAGAGTAATAAATAATGTGAAAAGATTAAGGGTAATGTGAAAAGACTAAGGGTAATGTGAAAAGACAGAGAGTTATATATCAGGATTTAAATTTAAATATAATTAACATTAAAAAAAGAAAAGAAGACAAACAGACAAATAGTTAATATTTTAGAATTTAGGTTTAAATATAAAGTCGGGGTGGGGACGGGGACGGGGGCGGGGTGGGGATTGCATTACCCATCCCCGCCCCCGAACCCGATTTCTTAAAGCGGGGAAAACCCGAACCCGAACCCGAACCCGGTCAACTCGGTTTTTCCCCATCAACTTCGGGGCGGGGACGGGTCGGTCCCGACGGGGACGGGTTTGATTGCCATCCCTACTTCATTCCTATGTAGATGTGTAATTTTGATTATACAAAAATTTAATTGTGCAACTTTGTAGATTGGGAGCAGAGGAGGGACCAACACCTATCTTATTTCAAAAGAAAGTGTGCCTCTAACTCTTCATATTCTTTTATAGCTCATCAATTACCAATGCATTATGGCTCATCAATTACCAATGCTTTCTGGCTCATCAATAACCAATGCTTTTGGGTGTTCTTGGAGGGTGTGTTTTTCTTTTGTTGTTGCATTAGTATATTTAATTTGCAAAAATGCCTAACATGTTATATCATACTTCTTTAGCAAACTTAACCTTCATCTTTCTCATTTTCTTTGTCTCAGAGCATGAAGATAAAAATATAGGATGAGTTTTGCATATAAATTATATATTATTAATTAATTATATCTTTAATTGATATAAGATTTTTAACATACTTTCTTATATCTAAGAGTAAACATATAGAGAATATGAAACCTAATATTAAAAAATAATCTAATAGGTTGATAAATATCACTATAATAAACTTTAATTTCATATTATAAATAAAGAGATATCTAATTTAATTTTACTTATAATGAGATTTGTCTATAAATTATATATTATTAACTAGTTATATATTTAATAACGTGAAATGACAATATATTATAATAATTTTTTTGGATGATAGTATGTATTTTATTTTCTAATATATCAACAATCTTTGATACATCAACAATTTATTTCTTGGAAAGGCGTGAGCATGGATATATTTTCAAAGAAGAATGAACATATGTTTTTTACAACTATGTTACAAGGTTGTCCCCAATAAATTAATACACTACTACAAAATATACTTTCTACGTCATTATTTAACGTCGGTTATAGCTAAGACGACGTAGAAAGTACTTTCCACGTCGGTTCTCGGATGAACCGACGTTGAAATTGAATATTAAACACATTTTACGTCGGTTCTTAGTCAACCGACGTTGAAAGTCTTTTTTTTTATTTTTATTTTTTTTACTTATTGACACTTTCCACGTCGGTTCAGGGAACAACCGACGTTGAAAGTCTTTTTTTATTATTTTTTTTCAGCCAAAAACTCACTTAAATTTGAAAATTGTCATCAGTAAAATTTGAACCCAAGTACTTTAGAGTTGAAAGCTAATACTCCAACCACTAAACTACTAGAATTTTTTAATAATAACTTACAAATAAATTATATTTATATACAAATAAATATATATTCATGTAAATATATATTTATTTGTATATATTTTCTAGAAAGTATTTTTATTTTTTTTTCGACCAAAAATTCTCTTAAGTTAATGAATTGTCATCGATAGCATTTGAACTTAGTATTTTAGGGTTGAAAGTTAATATCCCAACCACTAAACTACTATAATTTTTTTATAATAACTTACAAATAAATTATATTGGTATTTTTCGATCGAGGGTGAAAGTGTGATTGACTCTTGTTTGAGTGAAAATATGTTAAAGCTCACGGAAATTCACTCACTCAAGTCTCGCTTGAGCGAAAATTGGTATTTTTCGCTTGAGAGCAAATAACGCGTTTCCCAAATTTATTTTATATCATTATATAAATAAAATTATAAAGATTATATTCTGTCATTAAATTACAAACTCATATAAAGATACATGCTCACAAATTTAGCATCAAATTTTGAAAACTCACTTGACACACACTTTCACTTTCGAGTGTGCCCTCACATCCAACATATAAATATATAACTATATAAATATATCAAAATATATAAATATATTTGTATTTATATATTTACATGGATATATATTTATTTGTATATAAATATAATTTATTTGTAAGTTATTATCGGAAAATTCAAGTAGTTTAGTGGTTGGAGTATCGCCTCTAACTCTAAAGTATTGGGTTCGAATCCTGCCAATGACAATTCTCTTAAAAATTAAAAAACTTCTAAAAAATATAATATAAAGAGATGGAGGACCTAATAAAAATATAATATAAAGAGAAAACTTCTAAAAAATATAATATAAAGAGATGGAGGACCTAATAAAAATATAATATAAAGAGAGTCTAGACTTCTAGATAAATAAAAGGGGGTAAAGGGGTTGTAAATAAATAAATATTATTAAGAATCGACGTTGAAAACTTTATTTGTAGTAGTGATAACTTCCACTAATACCTTTTGCTCAAATTTGTGGTAGACAAAATATTATTACAAAATCTTTATTTTTCTAAAACAGTAATATTACAAGTTTCACCACTAATATTTGAATTTGAATGAATTTATAGTTATTTTAAAATATAATTTATTTCTAATTTTTTATTATGGTTAGGAGTTTGATAGTGAATTAACTCAATTTTTTTTATTAGAAATGGAATATTACTAAATTATAAATTTTTTATTTCTTAGGATTTTATTGGATAATTTATTAAGAATATTTATTTTCTCATATTTAAATTTTGTAGATCATTTGTTTATTTTATTTATATAACTTATATCATTTTAGATATAAACATTTGATTATGAATGATATACTATATTTTTAAAAAGTTAGTGATTAAATTATAAATATTATATAAATTTTAGGTATTGTTTATTAAATAAGATTTCAAAGGCATGTAAAAGTATAACCTGGATTGATTTTAAATTGATGGGTTATAAATTGGTAGGTAAAAGTATAAGATGTTGTCATAATTGGACTTGGACGTTGCCTTTAACAATGTAGATTATTTTACATAATTCTACAATTAGCAAAAGTAATCAAATTAAGAAATAATTATAATTTCTTCATTTAGTTAATACCAAACTAACACGAAATAATCATATCACACTAAAAGGGTTGTGCGCACTCATAAAAAAGAGAGGTAGGAACACAAAATGATAAATATATAATATGTAAAATTTGACATAAAGAGAAAAAAAATAAGACAATAAAATGTGGTGCAAAAAGTAAATGAAAAATTACGTGTTTATTTGGAAGTAAATTTATAACGTATATGATCCATCTATTATAAAAATATAAAATATTAGGTTGTATTAAATTCATCAATTTAATTATTCATATATAACTTTTATAGACTTTTTATTTGAATTTGAAAATATATTTTTGTAAACATTTCAAGAATATAATCTTTAAATTATATCATTAATTGTTTACAGAATATTATTTTGTGAATGAATCTCTCCACAAAAGAATGATAAATGAATAAAATGGATTGAATTTTTATTAAATAAAATAGATTGGTTCAGATATGAAGCAAATTTAAAATAGATCAAAATATATTAATAAAAAAAATTTCATTGAATTAATTATAATCTAAAATACAATTTATTGTCGAATTTGCAATATAAAAAACGAACCTTTGAAGAAAGAATTAGACGCCACTAATCATGAGTGATTGAAAAGGTTCCCTCTTAATTTCTACGAAAGTGGAATAGTCTTTGTTCATGGGTTGTTTCCATGGTTCTCCATCCATCTGCATGTACGCATCTTTCCATTCCCCTCCTCTCACTTCCAATCGAATAGCTGATGCCTAAAAGTAAACAACTTCCAATGTTTCAAATCTTGCATATCAACAACATATTTGAGTTATAATCACTCTTTCCATTTATAATCTTTATTATCTTTTTTCTTTTATTAAAAATTTATTACTAATAAATTTATATTAATAAAATATTATTTTATTAAATTGAATCGTAATGGTTGTGTCGTACCTGGGCTATATGCTTTGCAGGAATCAATTCAACCATAACAAATGATGCATGCCATCCTTGTTTTAGACCAAATATTTCAAGAAGTCCATCGTCAACTTGTGCTTCTACGAAACCTCTCTACATCATAAAGTGTCCATATGCACACTTAAAAACTGCTCAAAAATAATTTATCAACTAAGCAAATTCATATTCATCTTAAAATCTATCGTAGTAATGTGAGAACATAAAATGAGAAGTCTCATATCTAGAGAAATTATATATTATTGTTTATTTCTCGTTATAAAAAGAATATAATATTTATTTTATAAATTATCTCAAATCTCTTTCCTCTCTTTTTTTTATTAGTACATTGCATGATAATTGATTTTTCTTATTTCTGCAAGAGAATATTATTATTGTTTTTTTTTAATTTAAGAAGGGTATTGTAATTTCTTTCGATAGTAAAATTTTATTATTGTTTATTATCTTGTTTTGTTTCTCTTTTCTCATATTTTATTTTAGTGTTTTGATTTTTAACAGTGGTATCCAATTTTATTTTAGCTGTAAGTTCTTATGCAATTATTTTGATTCCTAACAGTGGTATCAGAACCGATAATTTATCCGATGACGGGCTCGAGTTGAATATGATTATAGTAGGTAAAAGGTTCTTATGTCGAAAGTCTTCCGACAAAGATTTCAAGTAAGTGTAGGTTGAACGACGAGTACTAAGTAAGGTCATCACTAGGTATTCATGACTAAGAAATACTTCCGCTCGAGGAGAGATATACCAATGTGAAAGGAAATCATACTTGAGGGAGAGATGCTGAGAATTTAAGTGTGAGTTTGAAGTCTTACATTAGGTAAAAATGAGAAAGTTAAATAATTTATAAGTGAGAAAGATTCATAATCTAATGTTTTAAGATTTTAGGTTAAAAATAATGTTATATTCTCTTATATGGTTGACTCGGGTCTCATATGTGAAAATCTCCCTATTATTAGTCACCTCGAAAAGACCCATCATTAATATATATATATATATATATATATATATATATATTTTTTTTTTTCACTCAATGACAAGATAGAAATAGTTGATAAAAAAATTAATTGTAATGTTTAAGAATAAAAGATTAATTAATTTAATTTCTATGTTTTTTTTCAATATGAAAAATAAAAGAATTATCCATTAAAGCATAAGTTCAAGAAAAGTGGAGGTCAAAACCTTTTCTAAATACTCAGCTGTGAGATGACCCCATGGATTTCTTCCACTTCCATAACTATGGAGATTCAGAGCAACTATTGCTCTTACACTGAAAGCAAACACAAAGGGCATAAACTTATGAAAAATGAGACAAATTCAAAATCAAACCTTAAAACATTGTTTAATGAGATATATATGTACATATCTATATACCTTGTAGGAACTGGAACTTGCTCCCACTCCGTGCAATTGAACTTTTTGACATGCATCCGCAAAATGTTCTTTAATCCCCTATTTTGAGATTTTTTTTTAATATTTTAGTCATGATTATGAACTCAATATATATTTGATTAATTGGTAAGCTATTATGATCTTTAGCACTAAAAATATGAACATTGTAAAACTCATTTTTTTAATAAGAGAAATATCATATGATTTGTGTAAATATCATTCTTTAAAAAAATTATCCATCTAAATGTTAGAGATGTATATATAAAAATATTTTAAACTTGTTTTCATATTTTTATATTAATAAAAAAATTGTTGTCTTCTTTCTTTGCACAAATCATATAATATTTCTCTTATTAAAAAAAGAGTTTTACATAAAGTTATATATATAAAACAACTATAGGTATAACCATTTTTTTTCTTATTCAAAATACTGAATTTGTTGAGATATATCTGACCTTAAACATGGATCACTAGTGCATGGTGTGAAGAACCATCCTTGAGTACATGAGTAACCAGAGTATATAATCTACAACCATAACAAAAAAACTACATTCGTTTCAATCCTATTTTTATTCCTATGATTCAATCTATGACATCATTTTCTCAAAATACAAATTAACAGTATATGTGGGACCAGGAAACGTTAATGCAAAATAAAAACATTTTTAACAATGGTGCCATAAGATTATGAAAGTTATTGGAAAATAATGTAAATAGACAAACTAAATCGTATGAGTTCAATAATTTGAATAAGTAATATTTTTCAAGTTTTTGCATAAACTTTATACAATATTTCCTTTGTGCAATTCAAAGACACAATTTTTCTCATTTTCCCTCCTCACGACATGTTATGTTAGTAATGAATGAATTAGCTATTTTTTATTTGGATTGCATGAACTAAAAATGATTTATTATTATTATTATTATTATTATTATTATATATATATATATATATATATATATATATATATTAAAAAGTTATTACTCAAAAAAATACTTTTAACTTAATTTTAATTAAATTATCTAAATTTTAATTTAGGATTTAAGATTTAGAGTTTATAATTTACTTTAGTGAAGGTATATTATGATAAGACATCTATTACATTTAAGACTTCTTCAATATTTTTTTGTGACTGATGCTCATGTACTCACCTCTCTCCTTGCATCAAGTAGAATATGTTTAGGCCAATCAAAGAGTCTTCATTTATGATGAAGGGCTTAGATAATCATTAGAAGATTTATAACAAAAAGAAGAACAAAACATGAAAATTCATCAAAAAGAAGGATGATCAAGTTAGAATGGTGCAAATAATAATGAAATTTATAATACGTTTAAGTGCTTTGAAAGTTGAAAGTTGTAAGTAATTTTTTAATCTTTAATTTTGTATAAAATAAGTAGAATTTGTATTTGTTTGTGTTTTGACTTCACTTGAAATGAAAATGATGTTTTAACATATTAGAAGGTTTTTTAATATGATATAATGTTTTTAAGATTTCTAGATTCACAATAAATTTAACTAATTAAAATATTGAATTAATTTATTAAAATTATTAAAATATTAAGTAGAAAACTTACTTTATTTTATTCAAATATTTCTTTTAATCCATTAAAGTTATTTAAAGACTTTTTTTAATAATGTTATAATAAATAAAACATGTTTTAATACATTACAATTTTACTTTAATCATTAAAGTAGTTTTTAGTCCATTAAAATTATCACATATACTTAAAATATAAAACATGCTACTTAAGTATTATTTAAAATTTTATAACTTATATTAATATTTATGATTTGAACTTTCTTAAACTTAATTATTATTAAATATATATAAATTTTACAAATTTTATCTTCAACTCTTTCGTATTTTTTTATCTTTTTATATTTATTTATTATTTATTAAAAATATATTATTTAACCGTATTTGTATTTCATACCATAACTCTTTTTACATCAATACCCTTAACCAAATGAGAAAGACAACTTGTGTACAAAACATATTTACCATATAAATTTTAATAGTCAATACCTTATTTGCAATTGGACCTTGTGCAAGATAAGGTTTTTCATTTCGTAAATTGTGAAAACCATAAGCCACTTGGGCATCCATTCCTATAAATGAAAAAAATAAACTATAATTAATACTCACAAATACACATCAGAGATATTTTCATTAAATATATAAACATAATATTCATCCTAAACCATTGAAGCCAAGAATTCACGAGTTTGTTTGTATAAATTTAGGAATTTATTATATTTATAATATATATATATATATATATATATATATATATTATTTATCTATATTATATTTTTATAATATAATAAATTATTACGTTGTAATAATTATAATTTTGTTACGTTGAAGTATTGAGTTAGCTTCCTAAAACTCATTTTGTTTTGAACTAAATTAAGTCAGTGACAATGGTGCATAAGCCTACTCACTTGTATAAATATCATTGCTTATAAAACTCATTCACATACATGATTGTTTTAATAATTTTTGGATATTGTAAAATACTTGTCTCTCTTTCTTTCATTCTATATATATGAATTCTTAAAGAATATACTTCGATTTCAATCCTTGGGTTGAGATAAATATAATCATAATAATTGGGGTTAAATGTGATCATAAAACAAGATAAGAATGTGAAAAGAGAAACTATAAGAATATAATATCAAAGACAATTAAGAAATAAATGTTGATTAAGATGAATAAACACCCAACCAAAAAGGAAATTACCTATTGTTTATTATAGTTTCATGGAAAACGTGTTTAGTGAGAATGATGAGGTCAAATTCCTAGAGTAATATGATTATAGAGAATGAGATTATCATGTAAAAATAAACATCAATTTAAAGAATGCAAGTATCTAGAAACTTAAAAAGGAATAAAGAATGTTCATAAGAAGTGTAACACTATTTAAAGGGCAATAAATTTGAAGCATACTAGAATAGATGTCTCTAAAAACAAAAGTGAACATCTAACTAAAGGTTAATAATATTTGAACTTGCATGTGATTAGAAGTTCTATAAAAAGATACCCATTGGAAAAATGATTAAAAAAAAATACATTTGATAGGTTCAGACCAACAAACTCAAGATTTTATTGAAGTTTGTTCTAAAAGAAAAAATATATAATCTAGACTTTTAAGTACAAATGACAACATTACAACTAGAGGTTATGGAAATTGATGCACAAGCATTAAACTGATTTCAAAAGATAGGTTTAGACAACTCAAGCAAGATCAAAAGACAATTTGATGAGTCTCGAAAGTCAATTATTTGAAGTCATGGTATCTATTATCCACCATTGTTAAAAAAATCATTGCAACAAATAAAACAAGCCTAAGGGTCAATACAAGGAACTTATGATTCTAGAGTAAAAAATTATAATTTCTAAAAAGTGATAGCTATCTTCTTCTGATACACCATTCTTTGTTGTTGTTTAATCTTAAAAAGTGTACTTAAGTCTTTGTGTTTCATTATTTATTCACTTAGTGTGAAAAAGAGAAAATTGATGAATTTATAAAGAGAGAAAAACATAAATTATTTGAGATTAATTAAGTAGATTAATTAATGTTTAGAAGGTGGTTCTTATGTAGTTAAATTAGTTATGGTTGGGACAACTATTGTTGAGTTATGCTTAGAATTTCTGTATGTTTGTCAAAAACTCATGAAAGAATACTAAGTGGTGGTATGTTTGAAGAAGTATTTGTTAGAATCGAAAGATATAATTCAACAGTACAAATAGATTAGATGATAAATCTTTATAAATTTTGGTGTTATTAAATATAATATAATTTTATTAATTTAATATTTTAAATAAGATATATTTAAAACTAAAGTAATATAACAAAAGAGATATGTTAATAGTGTGATTATAAAATGTCAACCCATACCAAATGCATTATTTACGTTGTAATGGTATAACACACATGTGTCATTATAATGAGCATAACTAAAAAGAGGATAAAGAAATTAATGTAAGACTAATTTATCAAAGTCAACCAATAATTAAAACACTTTGCACAAATTAAGACAATATAAATCTTTTACATTGAGATTATCATCAGTATCAAAACTGACATACATATAAAAGAAAATTCATGAACAAGAATTTTCATTTTTTATTTTAATAAATTCTAGTTTATACATGTTGATTTACCGAGTTAGTTAAAAATAAGTTATAGGATTTAATTTATTTTTTTAGTGAATTAAAAATTTTACAATCTGATTCTACCTATCACAGACTCGTGAGTTAGGTAGATCAGCCCACTTAAATATAAATTTTTTAAATTATTTTTTATCTTTTTAAATTATCAAAATAGATAAATTAGGTAAATTGATAAACATATCTCATGGGGTCAATCCACTGTTAACCTAACTCCAATACGTTTAATTTGTGAATTAAATAAATCAGATTCGCTTTAATCTATTATTAAAAAATTTAATTTATTTTTAAACCAAGTATATCAAAGCCGTAATGAATCGGGTAGCTAGTCTGGTAGGTTGAAACTCATATTATCCCTCTAGGCATATATTGTTGTAGAAGGACATAAGAACCTAAGCGATTGGGGTAAAAATTCATTTTTGACATAAAAGACAAAAAGCAAAGTACCTATACTGAAGTAATTGTAGAACACGCCGTCGTAACATATAACATTCTCACACAATTCTCCCTGAAACGCGAAGCCCTTCAATCACAATAAACTTTTATACATCAGACCAAAAAAATTATAAAATTTTCAACTTTTAAACAAGTTTATTAAACATATAGTCTTAATGTATAGAGAAATTAAAATAATATAAAAAAGAAATCCAAAAACCTCATGACGTGTGAACTCTATTGTACGCTTCAAAGAATGTGGTGCTTCTATTACTGTGCCTTCTGGCATTGAAATTGAAAATCGCCAACTGCATAAAAGAAATATAATGCAAAAATTTTCTCATTTTTATTAATAAGATTTCAAACTGAAGCATATAAAAAAATTGTAAGGTATTACTAGGAAAGATGAAAGTAAAATTGTAAGATATTATATATATACCTATCCAAACGACAAAGTGGAGCAATGGTAGCCTTGCAAAGACTTCTCTTAATAGCAGCCTTCCATTTAAAAGGAAAGGAACCACCCTGGTAATTCATAATGGATTAAAAGCAAATAGTATTTAGCATTTAATTAAGCATGGTGTAATTAAAAAGATATATTGAAGGCATACCCAACCAAAACTCCTAGACAGGTCATTGCCTGTGCCAAGTGGTATGATCCCTACTGGAGGGACCGGCATCCGACCTCTTACGTGAAGCTCTGTCAGACATCCTAAGACCCACCCAACAGTACCGTCTCCTCCAGCTACCTATCAAATCAACACACACACACAATATTATTATTAATTAAGGAATGACCGAACTAGGAGATTTTAATGAAAAATGTCTTCCCCGTGAAGGAATGCATGAAAAATCTGTGTCGAAACGAAGAAATATGATGGAAAAATTCTCTCGTATCTACTATAAATACGATAATTTTATAATGCATTCGTGGTAGCGTACTTGTGATCAACATAGAACGTACCATAATCCGTAGTTTTGCACGAGTTTCGTCGGCAACAAAATCACCAAAACCAGCCAACCTCTCCAGGCAACCTAATCCATACTCGATAAACTCAGGAGGCTTCACATCTAATATGTCAAAAACCTGCGGTGAACTTCAATTCACATTAATCATAAAAATAACACTAACTTTAGAACAACTTAGAAAAGCTAAACTGCAGAAAATTATAATTTAGAACCGACGAAGGAGGAGGTAGTTTATCTTAATTAACATGCTTTTGATTTTTCTTGAATTATGCACAAAGAATGACAGAAATTAATGATGACTAACCTGCTCTTCACTCATGAGAAGTTGGAGCCTCTCCATGAGGAAGGCACCCTGGCGGCCACCACTGCGAGGGTTGATGAAAACGACCATCGGCGCGACCGGTGCCACCACGTCGTTGTCTTCTTGGCCACGAATGGAAAAACTCTCTCCGGCTCCCGTGTCCTTGAACCTGATGCACTCGCGCATTGCAAAGCGAAGGTATTGCGGCATCGTCAGCTTTTGCCTCAGCTCCGCCTTGCCCCCGTGAGTACCCGAAATGCCGCACCGCAAGGAATCCACAAGTGACGACGAAGACGATGACGACGACTTAGTCCCCACCTTGCTCGTGTCCCCCGTTGTTGATGACGATGGTAAATCCATCGTTTTTGCTTCGATCCAATTCAAGAAGAAAAAGAAAAGCTATTGGATCTGATGCATGCGCTTACGATCATGAGACACTTCTAACGGGATGTTATATGGAAATATATGGTGATGGTCGTTTATTATTTTAAAAATTTTCAGTTTATCGATACAAAGGTGTGGCGATCGGCATCGCCTTTGGCAAGAACAACGTAAAATGGAGGAAACCTTGACAAAATTGTTGTTTCGTTTTATGTCTTTGCCGTTTTCATACAACCGTTTCTACAATTAATTGTACTACAATAGCCACGTCCCCAAAAAACCTAATTATTAAAATATATATATACAAATGAAAAAAGTATACTTTTATCTCATAATATTCTTTTAAAATTTTCTTGTAGTACTTAAATTTTCAAATTAATAACTTTAGTCCTCTTAACTTTTGAACATTAATATTTATTTGAATCTAAATTTAATATTTATTGATAATTTTTTACAATATTTGATAGTAATTAATGTAGAAGTTTCCTAACAATTACATGTCCTTATTATCGTTTATTATTTACAAAATATCACCGAAAAGACTTAGGTGTTGCATAATTTTATCATATTTTTTGTTATACTTAGCTTTGCCAGATTTGATCATTTTCACATTTTTGTTTATTTATCTTGTTATTTCATTCAAATATTAATTTGTTGAAGCATCACTGTTTGAGATTTCCCATTTAGTGACTAATTATAACCAAAACCTAATAATTATCAATAAACCAAAACCTAATATTAGAAGGCCACGAATATAACTATGTAATATGAGAAAACCTTTTTGCATATTATTGGATTCTCCAAGTTGCACAAACAACTCATACTCCTAGACCATCGGATGCTTTCTCACTTTTTTCACTTTATCGTGTCTTCATGTTCTATAGTATCTCACATTTGCATGAGACAGAACTCATCAGAATTCCAAAATAAACTTTATGATATTCTTCACTTTAGAAACCGATTAATTAAGCTTGTATGTTCTCATAAATTATGGATAATATCATCCCAAATATGTCTATTAATTCAATGAAATTTTTTATCTTAATTTTCCAAAACTTATAATTCATCTTCTTAAAAATAGACAATCTATCCGTAAAAATATTCTCAACAAACAAAAGATTATTTTCACCCAATTATTTTAAATTTGAGTACCGCATAATATGAGACTTTTTTTCATAAATAATACTGTTTTTAAAAATATTTTCCAAAATAGCACCTCTGCAACTTTATTTACACAACTAGCACTGTTTACTGTTCACGTAATAAAATAATATTATTTCGTGCAACTGTTTACTGTTCACGTATTAAAATAATATTATTTCGCGCAATGAACTCTCGCTCAAGCGAAGAACCCACTCGCTTGAGCGAGGAAATCTGTAACAAAGGGGTAATCTCGGGTCAATTATCGCTCAAGCGAATAAACCCTTCGCTTGAGCGAGGAAATCCGTAAGAAAGGATTATCTCCGGTCAACTCTCGCTCAAGCGACGACTATTTCGCTTGAGCGATAAGTGATTAAAATATGTGGTGACCCAAGTTGCGTTATGTGGCTAACTGCGTTGGACGTTTAGCCAAATAATGCAACTTGGGTCACCACATATTTCAATCACTTTTCGCTCAAGCGAAATAGTCGTCGTTTGAGCGAGAGTTGACCGGAGACTTTAGATAGCGGTTCTAGAACTAACCGCTATTAAAAATATATTTTAGATAGCGGTTAACGTGGAACCACTATTATATGTTTACTTGTAAGAGCGGTTATAATGTTAACCGCTCTTAAAGGTGACACATATATAATAAAAAAAAATTAAATGAACAGTGTTTTTATTATTAAATAATTCATTCCCTTGCCCATCTCTCCTCCTTCTCCGATTCTCATTTTCCTAGCACAGAACTTTGTCATTCTAATGAAGTCGTCACGCGGGTGTGAACTTGCCCATCTCTAATGAAGTCAAATCCGTTATTAACAAAGTATTGGGTGTCAAGATCCTTTGGGGCTATCACCTCCTTCGTGGTCACAGTTTGGGTACTTGAAGAAGTCGCTTCTGAGTAGGTGCGCTTGGAGCTTTTTCTTTTGCCAGCCATGGTTTATGTTTACGACTATTGAGAATAGTCAACAGTGAACGAAAACAGAGAACAGAGAATCTGCGAGTAATTAAAAAGCAAAGAACACATTAACCTTCATGGTTGTTGTATGCTTCTTCTTTACAATGCAAACAAAATCAAACAAGATGAACCATCAAATTAAAATTCAAAACCGAAATCAATAACCATATTAAACCCTAAACCAAATGAACAAAACCCAATATTAAACATAGACGAACCAGAGCCGGGAGAGAACGAACGTTTCTTTTGCGTGCGCCGGCGAGAGAGATGCAGAGTGATCGATGTTCTCCAACTATAATTGATCAATCTCAATTATAATCGGTTATCCACAATTATGATCGATTATTATCCAGTTATATGCGATCAGTTTGACATATATGACTTTAGATAGCGGTTATTTGGCCAACCGCTATGTCATATATATATAAGAGAGCTATTAAAGCCTAACCGCTATGTCATATATATTTAAAAGCGGTTCTCAGTAACCGCTATCTAAGGTCACTCAAGCGAAAAACACATCGCTTGAGCGAGGACACCTGGAAAAATGGGTGGTTCTCGGGTTCTGTCTCGCTCAAGCGACGTTATGAACGCTTGAGCGACAAGTGATTCTAATATGTGGTGATCCTCACCCACACCGTGGAAACAGTAAATGCTGAAATATTAAGACTTCTCTTCCAAGTCTACATGTATAAACTCATTACTCAACCACCCACCAGACAAAGTGAAAATTCAATTCAACCATTTCTTTGAGCACATAAATTCCACCAATTGATTTCTCAAACTCTGTTTTTTGCTGTATAATTTTACAAGTCTATGATAATCGGGCTTTGGTTGCATAATCACGTTAACTTAAAAATTTAATAAGAAATATAAATTATCTTTATTTGCTCGGTCACCTCTTATTTGCTCGGTCACCTCTTATACTAAAAATAATTCAATTCTCGCTCAAGCGACGGATATTTTCGCTTGAGCGAAAAGTATGATCGATTATTATCCAATTATAGTCGATCACTTTGACGTATATGACTTTAGATAGCGGTTATTTGGCCAACCGCTATCTAAACTACATTTATTATAGCGTTCCACGTGTCAACCGCTCTTTAAAAGTATGATATAAGAGAGCGGTGATAAAAAACCGATATTATAAACATACATTAGACAGCAGTTAAAGCGTAACCGCTATCTAATATATATTTTTAAAAGCGGTTGTTATTAACCGCTATCTAAGGTTACTCAAGCGAAAAACACATCGCTTGAGCGAGGACACCTGGAAAAATGGGGGATTCTCGGGTTCTGTCTCGCTCAAGCGACGTTATGAACGCTTGAGCGACAAGTGATTCTAATATGTGGTGAACCAAGTTATATTATTTGGCTAACTGCGTTTGACGTTTCGACATTCGGTCAACACTCGCTCAAGCTACAAAGTCATCGCTTGAGCGACGAAGCCATCAAACAAGGGGGACTCTCGGGTTCTGTCTCGCTCAAGCGACGTTATGAACGCTTGAGCGACAAGTGATTCTAATATGTGGTGAACCAAGTTATATTATTTGGCTAACTGCGTTTGACGTTTCAACATTCGGTCAACACTCGCTCAAGCTACAAAGTTATCGCTTGAGCGATGAAGCCATCAAACAAGGGGGACTCTCGGGTTCTGTCTCGCTCAAGCGACAGGTACTTTCGCTTGAGCGATAAGTGATTGAAATATGTGGTAGCCCAAGTTGTATTATGTGGCTAACTGCGTTGGACGTTTAGCTATGGTCAATTCTCGCTCAAGCGAGAAACCCGTCGCTTGAGCGAGGAAACCTGCAACTATTTACAATGTTGAGTCACCCACCGAAGTCAGGATTCCCATGTCTTTCTGATGCACACAAGTAAAGAATCCAATGCTGAGTTACCCAGCTAAGTTAGGATTCCAATCTTGGATTCCTTGCATTGGGTTAGACAAAAGCAGAAGAATCCAAACATATTTAAAGAGAACCGCTATCTTATGCGTTTTCCGCTTAAGCGGCGATTCTTCGCTTGATTATGCAGCTCCTGCAGAATTATGCAACTCCTGCAGAATGAGTTTCTTCAAAACTTTTCACAAAACTTTCTAAGTGATTTTAATTGATAACAACAAGTTTTAATTGATTAGATTAAAATAGTTAGCAAAAAGTTCCTTAAATAACCTTTGACTTCATCAAACCCACAAGATCTTCGTTTTATTAAATGATTCAATAAGATCTTCATCACTTTCAATTAATTGAAAAACTCCTAAGATTCATATATTGAGATATTTCTTAACTAACACAATCTAATGATGCGAAGTAGATGCACATGCAACATTGGGACATGTTCTTCTGCTATGACCAGGGGTATGACAATATGAACATTTTTTAATCCTACTTTGATTTTCTGTAATGTCCATCTCAGTTCTTATACGACTTGATTTTGGTCGGCCCTTTGAAGTTCTTTTCATTTCTGGATTTGCACACAAAGTAGGTCCTGTGTATGTTGGCCAATATTCTTCATTTCGCAATAACCCAAATTGTGTTCCGTATACCTTTGAAACTTGTTGTAAGGTATACACTGAATTAATATAGTTGTTGAAGTCATGGTGTGCATGTTTGCATGCAGCAAGAACATGTGAACAAGGCATGTGAAATTTTTGGAATTTCCCACAGTCACACCATAACTCATCAAGGTGAACTACAAACTTCCCTGCTGGTCGAACTACACGCGGGTTTTGTGCTTCTTCTACTACAAATTTTGTGGTAGACCTGTCAAAAGATATGACTCTATGCGTGTTTGCCTGTGTTTGTGCTTCCTCTAAATTTGTGACCAAAATTTCAGAGTATACATGACCAGCATTGATCATGGCATCTATCTGCCTCCCTCT